AGGGATGTTCTGTTCCCATGAAATCTCACCAGCCTTGGATATTTAGCGAGCTTGAAGAGTCGGGTCAGCAGAACAATGAGGCGGAAATGTCTCTGCTGGGCTCACCGTGACTGCAGGTGAGCGTTAACTCATTTTGACTCCATCAGTGTCATACAGGAGCTTTCTTCATATTTATCATATGAACGCGTCTTTAAGTGGACCTCGTGGCCTCACTGCACAAAAACAGTTACTGACACGGTTGATTTTTTTTTCTTTATTTTTATTTTATTTTTTGTTGTTGCTGTTTGTCTGTGTCTGTTTGTGCACGCTCACATAAAAAGTGGGTGTTTTGCTTTCCTCTCTCTCCGCCCGTAACACACTATTTGGGCGCCGCCTGAATCAGAGTGAGGACAGCTTACATATAAATTAGACATGAGACCAGCAGCAGCTATGAACACTCAGTGCGCCCATTATTTCAGATGTGAATAAATAAGAGCTGGAACTTTAGTTTGGATCAGCTGCTCCGTGCGTTCAGATCTGACGCTGATCAAGAATGAAAGAAACCTGGACTGGATCCCTTTAGTCTCTGTCTCTTACTGATTGAAAGTTATCGGTGATAAAGATTCTCTACATGTAACTGAATACTTTCCTGAGCTGCATTCTAGCAGCTGCAGTTCCAGACTTGAAGGCATCAGGACCAAATATGGGTGCCAAAACGAATTAAATTAATACATAATTAATGAGAACATCAATGGACATTTAATTATTTATTTATTTGGTTGATTAAATCATAATCAACTAAAGCAGATTTATTTCACCTGAAAATGATTTTTTTTTCTGTTCTGATGGGGGAAGGGAGAAGAATTGAGTTGAGCTTCCTGTTAATTTCTCCTGTTTTTGTCACTAATTTCTGTGTCTGCAGGTGAGTCAAACATTTTTTTTCCTTTCTTATTCTTTCTGTAACTAAAGGCAGTTTTATAAAGGAGCGAGTTCTGTTCGTGTTCCATTTAATTTATGGTAAATAAATGGTAAATGGCCTGTATTTATATAGCGCTTTACTAGTCCCTAAGGACCCCAAAGCGCTTTACATATCCAGTCATCCACCCAT